GTTATTTAAGTGGAATACCTGGGTGGAAGAGTGAAAGCAAAAACATAACATCTTGTCCCTTATCACATAAGAGAATAGGAGGCAGCTGGGCAGCCCTGGCCTCCATCACTTACTGAGAGACCTTGGACACAGTCATTCTCAACTGGTTCCTGGTTTTCCTCCTCTTTAAAATGGGGGTGTGTAACTTGCAGATTTTTGAAACAGCTTTTAGGTAAATGTATTCAGTGTCTTTTACCTGGTAATTGCTTAATAACAGTGGTTGCTATTATCATCTCTAATCCCTCTGTAGGGTAAATGAAGTTGGTCAGGCTCTGGCACCACTGGCTCTGTGGCTGTCACCTGAAGCCTTGATTTTGTTAACATGGGTGAGGGGCATGTACAAGTGTGCACACCTGAGTTTTTAAGGGCAGCAGTACTCAAGATGCCTACAGTGGAACAGCTCCAAGAGGAGGCCACGGACGCCAGAGAAAAAAGGAGATAGAAATTCACAGGGGGCGCAGGTCACTCTCTCCCTGCTGGCTTGTTACCCTGCTTACGCCCCCTCTCCCCTGCCTACCGATAAAGTCTGTGACAATGATGCCAAGGACTCCAAAATTTTCTTTCAGACCACTAGAACCAAAGGGCACCTACCCAGCCTGGATGGTTACAAAACACCACCCTTGCTTCTTCCTTGTGTTTATCTGGAATATTTGTCTAAAAAGAGGAAAACAGAACTGTTTTCATGGCTTTACACTGTGGTTTTCTTTCAAATATCTTAAGAACAGTAAAGGGACAAAATGCAAACATGTCAATGCCTCTAAAAAATTAAAACATATACTTAAGTTAATGGCAGCTTAAAAAGGTGTAAGTCCTGGGCCCTTCCCGGAGGCCCAAGGGGTTGGGGCATAAAACTGCTGGCTGGTGGCAGCCACCTCAGTACAAATTCGATCCTGGCTTTGGAGGTGATCCACATGGCATGGAGGACCTTTCCTGGCCTGCCCGCTGCTCCCCTCAGCAGTGTACTGTCAGATCTGCCTGTTCTGCTCTCTGCTCTGTCTCTGTGAATCCTCTCACTGCCCCTGCAACTCTTGCTTGTACCCCAGTTCTCTATGAATAAATAAATCTTAAAAAAAAAAAAAAAAAAGGCCCCCCCTGGTGGCGCAGCGGGTTAAAGCACTGCACTGAGAAGCTAAAGCCACTTCAGCATGAGTTCAATTCCCGCCTGCCCCGGAGGTGACCACATGGCGTGGAAGACCTCTCCTGACCCACTCACTGCTCCCCTCAGCAGTGTACTTCGTCCATCTGCCTGTTCTGCTCCCCGCTCTGTCTCTGGTGAATCCTCTCACTGCCCCTGCAGCTCTGGCCTGTACCACAGTTCTGTATGAATAAATAAATCTTTTTTGAAAAAAAAGTTGTAAGTCATTTTAATTGTGTGTGTGTGTGTGTGTCTGTGGGTGTGTATAACTGTAACTTCTGACAGAAATGAAATCCCTAGCCATGGTTAGAAACAAGGCAACTAATAATACTTAGTAAGGAAAGGAGTGTTTTCTCAAGAAAAATAAGGCATTTTACATGAACAAATTGCAAATGGATCTATTTAAAATGAAGTTAAATGGCACCTCACTGGTTTTTAAATTGGGACTTATTTATCTTGGTAAAATGATTCAAGTCTTGATTTATCAATAAAATTATCTTTATTATTACATTTAATTATACTAGATGGTTTTTAAAGACTTGTAGGTTCTTGCTATCCCTTTAACTGACATTTTATACAGACAATAATTGAATATTGGGAAGAATAACTTGATTTTCCAAAGAAATATGTTTCTAATATTTTCTTCTTTTTTATTGCAGAAATTGAAACAAGTTGAAGAAACAAAAGAAGATCCTGAGAATAGATTATCTAAAATTTCCCTGGAGTCATGCAATAAATATAACAGCAGTCCTGTGATTTTATTAGAAAAAGAGAAGAACTCTTTGAACAAGGTTGAAGGACAAAAGGAAGAAAAAGAAAAAAATGAAGAGGCATCTTTGAGTAGCTCAGATAGGCCTGGGGTGGACAATTTGGAATCTTTAAGTGACTCTTTATATGATAGCTTCTCTTCCTGTGCAAGTCAGGGTTCAAATGATGTATAAAGTACTTTTTTTTTTCCTAAGTGAGCTGAAAAGCAGCACTTAAGCAACGGGGTGGGGGGAGGGGAGGTAGAGATGACAGCTGTGATCTATTGCAACACAGGAGAGTCTACTCTGTCAGATTTGCAGTAAGCAGCACTGGAACTTGCTTCTCTGACAGGACAATAAAGATAGACTCCCGTTTGTTGTGTTTCATGAGAATTAAAAGTAAACAGGCCCATGCTACAGAAGTCTTAATTTTGCACTTTTTTTGAATACTTGTACAGAAGTTGTAAATTTTTTGGACAGGAAATTATATTTGTAGCAAAAAAAGACAAGCAATAAATTGAATCAGCGCCATGCTCTTGAAATGATGTACTAAGTCTTAGAAGTTGATAATATATATTTTTTAAATTCCAACTAAAGTTTTTGTTTAGTTCATAGTCCTAGTTCTCAAATTGTTTGTGGGTCCACTCTGGAAACTTAAACAGGACCTGCCTCCAAGAGAGGGCTCATTTTAATCTCCATCTCAAAATCTCAATTTGATGTAAATTTTAATTCTACTGCAATTTCAAATTTGTTCCCAGACATCTGGTTTCCAGACATCTGGTTTCTTGCGGTAAGTGTAATTCTGCTTTTACTGGAGTGTATTACTGACTGGAAGGGATATGTATCAGAAGTGACCTAATTCTATTTTCAATAACCGGGTTCCCTCCAAATATGCTCTTACATTCTCTTAGTGCTTCTCTATAATTCTCAACAGTATTTGTTGATGCTCTTGTTATGAAAATCTGAGCAATCTAGAAATGAAAGCAAATTCCTATTTGCAATGTTCTTTAAAAAAAATAAAATGGTTGGTGCTATGAAAAATTCTTACTTTTTAATAGCCTTTTTTTCCTATAAAATGTGTTTATATGTAAGGATAAATTCTATTTTAAAGGTAATGTGTATTTTTTCTAGATGTGAACTATTTATAATTGCTTTTGTACAGGATCTTGTAAACTAGGCATAATAGAAATATTTTTAGGCTCTATATGGTTACTTTAGTACACATTTTTTCTTTAAAGAGAATTGTATGACCAGTGTTATTTGGTTGATTTGTGCAATTTGTTATATTTGAATTTTGTTATCAAGTGAAAATAATGTATCACTGTCTTTCAGACTTTTAAAATTTCTTTTGTGTCATTTCTGAATAAATGTCATATCATAGTTGCACCCTGGTAAAGCTTAAAGAACTTGTTCAGGACCCTTTGGCCTTCAGTTACTTGAATCTCACACATGCTCCAAAGATGAATTTCCGAAGGAATAAATAAAGTGGCCCCTTTTGCTCTAGAGATAGTAATTCAGTCAACCTTAAGATCAGAGTCTGCAGAGAAGCAAGTAATGGTCAAAGCATTTCAGTCTCCCCGAGGGCTTAGCCAACTAGAAATGAAAGGAAAAGGGGGGCAAAGGGAGAGAAGGAGCTGGAGGCAGATTTGAAATCATCTCTGCTGAGAAATTACAAAAAAAGTCATTTAAGCCCATTTCCAGACCTGCTCTGCTGACAGGACAGGGAAATAAATGGCCAGCGTCCAGATCTTAAAGAACTTCCTCCAAGAGGTGGCCCGAGGAGTAGGAGGGCAACGCATACGACGCTATATACACAGAAATGGATGCTATCTAGGGACTTGGGGAACAGAAGTGGGTGCTTGAGGGATGGGGGCCTTGACGCCAGGCGGGTATGCTGCTCATCCCTCCTCCCCACCTGCTGCAAGGCCCGCGGGGAAGGTGAAGGCTCCTGAAGGCCCTGGAGTACTCCGGGTGGGTTGTTTGACCACAAGAGGTGGCATGACGGGGATGGGAGGGGGGGCACAGGTAGTGACAGAGTCCATGGTCGGATGGTGAGTGAGCGAGGACGCGAAAGTGTATACTAACAACCCTTGCCTCGGTCCAGAGCAGGAAGAAGCTGCCTACCTTTTGCAAGAAAAGGTAAAAGGACAGCAACTTCTTTCACGACCATTTGCTTTCTCGTGGGAGCTCAAGAGGGTGTCCGCAGAGGCCCTCCCCTAAGGTAGGGACCGGGTGTCGTCCACGCTTCCTCAACCGATGCGCGCTGGTAGACAAAAGGAGGGCGGCCTGGAGCGCGCGCGCCAGTCAGGGTAGGGGCTTGGCCCCTAGCCCAGCCGCAGCTGAAATCGGACGGTAAAACGCGAGCGCTTCTTAGAGGCGAGGCTGCCCTGGTCCCCTCAGGGAGTCGGTGCTGTGCAACTTTGCCCCGCGCGCAGGAGCGCTCGGCACCCTTCAGCCATTCCGTGTAGACGGCTCAGGTAGGGAGGACCAGTCCTTGCGCGAGGGTACCGGAGGGCCCGGGACGCAGTGGACGTCGGGAGCGCGCACCTGTGTGCTGAGAACCTGCGGGGCGCGCAGTCGGCTCAGCCACTTCACAGGTGTCGGCGATCTGTACTCAGCCCGCCCGCGGCACCTGCGGCGCCCTCCTCCCGGCCCGCCCAGCCGCGGACGACTACACGCTCTCTTACGCCCCGGCGTCGGGTCCCAGGGACTTGCGGAGGTGCGATAGCTGGGCGTCGGGAAGGGGGTGGGGACTGGAAAGACGGTCCCCGCGTTCCCCGCCCGCCACCCCCACCCCAACTCGGCAGCCGTCACGTGGTGCCAGAAGTGGGAGGTGGGGAGAGCGAGAGTTTTTTGGGTGCTTGGAATCGCCAGTAGTTCCTTCAGTACTTCCTTCGAGACGCCGCACTTAGTCCCGGTGGGCGAGCGAGAGGAGCGGCGACGAGCAGCCGGAGCCCAGGCGCGGGCGATGCGGACGCCGCAGGAGGCACCTGCGGCTCCTCTTGGCGGCGGCGTTCGCCTCGGCGGCTGCAGCGCGGGCCCCAACAACCTCGGCAGCCACAGCCGCCGCGGCCCGGGCAACCTCCGCCGCGGTCGCAGCCTCTGAGGCGCCTGCCCGCTCCCGGCCCGCGGTTCCGGGAGGATGTGGGTCCTCGGCATCGCAGCAACTTTTTGCGGATTGTTCTTGCTTCAAGGTAAGAAAACCGAGGCGGCAACAGCTCGCTAGACGTGCACACCCTGGCTCGCCGCCGGCCCCTTCGCGTGCTGGGCACCCGCCTCCGGGCCGCGCGGCTCAGGGATTGCCCGGCGGGAGTTCAGCCGTGGGGCCGGTGCCCCGGGCGCTCGGTAGTCAAGTCTCCGAGCCCCGTGCCGAGCGCGAACTGGGAGCGGCGGGGCTGCGGGGCTCGGGCGCATGGTCGGGGCGAGAAGCTAGGCTGGGGAGGAAGATAGGGGCTGAACGGCGTAGTGCTTTGGCGAGGGAGAAGCGGAGACCGCCCCGGAGCCCCTCCAAATTGCGGGCGTTTCTGGCAACCCGAGTGAGTGGCGCCGCCGACAGGTGAGCGGCATGTTGGGCACCCACTGACCGCGGCGCGCCGGGGCTGAGTTGTTGCGCCCCGTGCGCGCGCGACTGGTGTTGTGCTGGGACTGGGGCTCAAGGGGACCGGGTCTACCTACCCGAGAGCTGGGGTGCTAGGGTTGAATAGCAACTGGAGAGGCGGAGCAGCGCAGCCAGGTTGGAGCGGTGAGAAATGGAAAGACGTCCAGCTCCTCTCTGGCCGCCGACCCGCTGCCGACAATTCTGCAGAGCTGGGGACCCAGACCGGGAACCTAGCCAGAGGGTCGCCCTGAAAGCCTGGAGAAACGGGTTAGGGCGCCCGCGCATTAGCATGCGCAAAGGAGCCCCTCTCCTCACTCCGCGGCCACCCGACTGCAGTAAACGCCCTTCGGAAAAGGGCCGGGACTTTGGGCGCCGCGGGACTTGGCGTCCGCGCTTCCGGTTCCCGGTGGTCGCTCAGGGAGCTTCGGAACCACAGGGTAGGAATGCTGACTTCAAAAATTAAATACATCTTAAAAGACGTGAATGCAGTTAGTAACGGTGCCAAAATAGTGATTAAGTCATTTGTAACTTATTAGCAATTAAGCAAATCCTTTGGTTTAGGCTGGCGCTGATGCCGGTTCTTGGAGCTGCTTTGCTCTGGGGCTGTAGACTGCTCTCTCCTTTCAACTTCGGTCATGGGCGGGCGCTTTGTTTATGGACCTTGGTAACAGGGGTCGCAAACGAAATTTCACCTTTAGCCACAGGGTCCTCCGCCCCTGCCGGTTTCAGCCACATTCGCCTTAGTGGAAACCCGGGAGCGCAGTGTCTGCTTCCCAAGGCCCAGCGTGACCGCTGGCTAGTGCAGGATGGTGGTGGTGTCCAGGGTAGTTTCTGTGAGGGCTGAATCTGACGCCGACTGTATGTGTTCACAGGTTTTGCGCTGCAGATCCAGTGTTACCAGTGTGAAGAATTCCAGCTGAACAACGACTGCTCCTCCCCGGAGTTTATAGTCAACTGCACGGTGAATGTTCAAGACATGTGTCAGAAAGAAGTGATGGAGCAAAGTGCAGGTAAGAGCCAGCAGCTCTCCTCTCCCTTGCACGGGAGTGAGGCGGCCCCTCAATTATAGGGGCAAGGACTGGCTTTGATTTAAAACACATGCACTGGTTATGCAGATTTACTTTTACAGGGCTGGGAAAATGAAGCGTTCAGAGCTACTTTAATTTCATTAGAATTAATTACCAGGGTATGTTCCCAAAGGACTTGGGAGGAGAGTGTCTTTAAATTAGTGGCTCTTTATGTTTACTTCCCTCTGCTAAAAACTGATGAAGATGCTGGAAAATGTACACATAACCAATTCTGGGCCTGTGAGCAATGTCAGCCTGAAATATGAAGCTAGTTGAAGCTCCCAGAGGTCAGAGATTGAAAAATGTGCTTTGTCATAGAGCCATGTAGTATTTCTTTGACAAACAGTACAAGATCTTTATTTAATTTTCAATCTAATGCATCAGGTTCCAGTCACAAATTGCCAAGATTCTTCAAAGCAATCTAGTTCCCTGCCCCACAAGCTTAGCTGCCAGCTGGCTAATGAGCTAGGGCCAGGGCTTTTTGAGGGAAGAACAGGGTGTTGTGAGAGCAAACCTTGCTCCCTCCAGCTGACCAGAATCTCACTTAGATGGAAAACCCCAGTGTCCTCTCCCCCACCAATAGTGTTACCAAGCTCAAAGTCACCTGGGTGGTGCAAAAGCCTCCCCCCCCCACCCCACCCCCGGCCCCCTTTAACAGGACTTCAGGAAAATGGGTATAGCTAGAACATTAATTCCAAGGTGAAACCTGCTAAACAGAGACTTGGCTATTTAAGTAAAGTAAGGGTAGTGAAAATATGGCAAGAACATCACATAGAGATGTTACTAAATGTTACTAAATGAACCAAAACCCTGCTCCCCTTGACTACTCAGCTGTTGTTCATAAAATCAGGTGAAGGGTTTAGAAGTGACTTCCTTAATCAGTAGCTTGGGAATGGCAAATTAATACCAGGGCCGTATTTTCAGGCCAGCATCTTGGGAAACTAGTTTCTTCCCAGAAAGGGGCCTGGAAATGCCTTGTGGCTAACCGTACAATATTTGGGGAAACAAATAGCTAGCCCCATGTGCTAGGATGTATATGTGCACATTTAAAGGTTGTTTCTTGTAGGATGTTATCAGCTTAGAAGTGGATTCTTTCCTCCAAAGTCATCTTTTGGAGAGTCTGACCTTTCCAGTTTCAAGAATATCTTGTCTCAGAAAAAGTAGCATCCATTGGTTTGTCATATGGGCTCTTAAAGACAATACAACAACAAGACAACACAAAAACTAGTGTTTTTTTTTTAATTAAGGTTGATATGTATGATTCTGACAAGTTTCTTTTCTACTTGTATTTCCATCCTGAGTATCTTACCTAAGTAGAATTTTATTGCACTTCTCCCAGATGGACTGCTATGATTTTAGCTTTGATCACTCTGAACACTTTCTTGTTACTTTCAAATATGTGCAGTTTTTTTCTAATTAGTAGTTTAGAGCAAGAAAAAAAAAAGGGGGGTGGGGGAATGTACTGTGGACACATTAGGAACTTCTTTCAAATCCTCAGGCCACTCTTTACCTGGGTGTTTGTTTTAAAACCTAGGATGTCATTATGACAAGGAGAGAAAAAGATAGGGACCAAATTACATCATGAAAAGCATCCTTTATTCCAAGAAACATGACTTTCACTGAAAAGTGTGTCTAATTAAGAATACCACACAATTCCATTTCTAAAGTATGATTTTTCATCTTCTGTCCTCCATTTTTCACTGAAAAAAGCCAGAATGAGTATTAGGATGGCCGTGATCTATAGGTACCTTTAGCACATAGTGCACCAGGCCTGAAGTTGCTTTGTTTGGATGGGCCCATATTTGCAGACCAGGCTCCCTAGGCCATGTGTTAGAGGCCATGTGTGAAATGTCAATTATGATGCTTGAAAAACAAATAATGTACTCAAAGGAAAAACAAGGAGTGAGGGGAAATGAATCAGGTTTCCATATGTGGGACAGGATATTCTGAGCCTAAATTCAACAGAAATTGGCCAAATGCACATTCCTAGATTACAAGAGTAATGTTCAGGGAGGTTGATACTTGCAAGCATTTCCATTTTCATCTCCATGCTATTGTTATAAACCACTAAATTTAAGTGGCTATTAACCCTCCTCTTGTTGGTGGAAATAGAGAGCCAATCTAAAACTGGTTATTGAGTGATCACAGTGGAGTTCAGTCATAGTAGCAAGAGCCGACTCTTCTCCTATAATCCTGTGCATCAGGGTTTTTCCTCTGCATTTTATGTGGAGCATCTCAAAATCTGCTGGTCCTCTTTTCAGATCCTTGTGTCTCCATACCACAGGTCACCAGCATTTAATTCTACTGTAGGGTCAGCTCCACTCTGGAGGAAGACAGGCTACCTGTCAAGCCAGGCTTTGTTGTTTGGTCAATAACGCGTTGTTCTAAGAATGTTAGTGCCTTAGAACTGAAAGGACCAATGACTCCCAGTTACAGAATACAGTGCCAGCTGGCAAGCCCCCAGGCCCCTGCAAATCTTTTCTCTTTCGGCCCTCTCTGGCATCATATTGTGGTCCTCCTCTCTGTAGTTACATGTCCTCTGTTAGCTTTCTCTGCCACAGCTGTCCTCTGTGTGATGCCATCCTTACAGCCTCAGCCCGCAGACCCAGGCGTGCCCACTTATCCCCACCCAGCCACCTTCCAGGTGTCCACAATCAGGCACGTGTGCCCCCCACTCATGCTTTCAAGAGCCTCCTGTGTTAACATAATCAAGGCCACAGTGATAGCCCAGAGGCCAGTTGTACCAGCCTGACCAAGTCACTTACCCTACACAGGAGAACTTAGAATCTCCCTGGAGTTATGGTCAAATTCATAGCTGCCTCCCTATAGCCCTCACCCCAATGAGAAGCCAGTTCAGTCATTCTGTAGGGTACCTAGCCCTAGGTCTTTTTTAAGCCCCCCAGCTGACTCTGGGGTGTCCTTAGTTGAAAACTGCTGATCTGGAACAACCTTTTGTGTTGTAGCAGGGGAAAAAAAGGCCAGAAAAGTTAGCTATCTGGTGCAAGCCAACTGTTACTAAGAGGCACCTGCCTCTGTGCCAGTCCTTTTACAATAAAAGGTACTGCCCCTGGTTTGCCTGATAATCCAGGCAAAGTGCCAAATTCATCTAACTTGGCTTAGTGAGCTGGTTGAATGGTGAGACCACATGGAAAGAATGAGAACCAGGGTCCTCCCTGGTGGCGCAGCGGGTTAAAGCACTGCACTGAGAAGCTAAAGCCACTTCAGCATGAGTTCAATTCCTGCCTGCCCCGGAGGTGACCACATGGCGCGGCAGACCTCTCCTGACCCGCCCGCTGCTCCCCTCAGCAGTGTACTTCGTCGATCTGCCTGTTCTGCTCCCCACTCTGTCTCTGGTGAATCCTCTCGCCGCCCCTGAGCCTCTGGCCTGTACCCCAGTTCTGTATGAACAAATAAAAAAAAAAAAAGGAATGAGAACCAGTCAGTAGGCATTTTAAAGTTTAAGTACTGTGTGCACTGGCATTTTTCATAGTTATAGACAAACCAGGGTCTTAAACTATCTGTGATTTTAATGAACCAAGCAAGTTTGACATTAAGCAATAACTACAAACTCTCTTTCCAAAAAATATCAGAATGCAATATGCCCAGGCCTTTAGTTGGCCCTTTCTGGATTAAGTCTGCAAGCTCAGCTGTTAACGAATTTTGAGGCAGGTACATTTAATTTTCAGTTGGGAAGTACATTTAAAGTGAACATTTACTATTCCCCAGAGTGACATTCCTATTAGATGCTCAGATGATTTTTCCTGCTGCTCTTTATTCCCTCGGTCATTTCTGGAGTAATAAAACATAGGGGAAGGGAAGATTTGGTTCTGCTCCTTTCATTGTCCTTACTAATTGATACTTAAATGTTTGTGTAAAGAATGACTTGTTCTTATGAGCTTTCCACTTAATGAGTTAGCCTCTACTTACTGGCGCCCTTAATGGTGACATTTCTTTTGTTCTTATTGTTGCACTTGGCAAAATAATTTCAAATATTGATTTTCATTTCAAAATAGAAGATTTCACCCACCATATGAATTTTTAAACCAGGATATAAAGAATGGGAATTTGCATTTGTTTGACAAGGCAATCTTGTAATTAGAGTTTTTCCTCTTGACTAGATACAGTGAAAGGGGCATAATTTAATTTTTATAGACTAGCCAATCTCTGCCCTTAGTAAAATATAGCTCTGCCAGTGAGCAAAATGTTACAGGTTCTCTTAAACCTTATTTAAAAGGTAAATGCAGTATATTGAAAGAAAGTTCATGGTCTGAATCAGTAACCTAATCGATCTCTTCACCCATCCTTTACAACATGTATTAATCTATTTGTCTGTTTTGCAATACAAGAGTTACTGATTTATATGCCATGTTGCATCTATATTGCGGCTGTTCAAAATGGCTCTTTTCCTTTTAGATTAGCTAGTTGCTCATTAAGTTGGGTAGGGATGGTTCCATGCCTTGGATAGGTTAATTTTATACCTTATTTTCTTGTGAACTAAGTAAGGGCTAGCAAGAGAAGAGTTGATGTCCCTGTAATTTAACTCACCCACTCTTAGTAGATGGAAAAAAGAAAGCTATCTGTGACATGTGTTTTCTTAAGTCTCCCCTCTGCTTAATTTCTCCAAGATTTAAAATAGTAGACTCTAGTGCATCCTCAGGAGTGGTCTTGGCAGGTTGAAGGGCCAGTTTTGCTAAACAGTATTCAAACTCAGTTCCTTTATACCTGAATTCTTTTTTTTTTTTTTTATTTATTTGTGCATACAGAACTGGGGTACAGGCCAGAGGCTCAGGGGCGGTGAGAGGCTTCACCAGAGACAGAGTGGGGAGCAGAATAGGCAGATCTACGAAGTACACTGCTAAGGGAAGCAGCGGGCGGGCCAGGAGAGGTCTGGCTCGCCATGTGGTCTCCTCTGGGGCAGGAGGCAGGCGGGAATCGAACTCATG